AATCCCTAACGTTCTGTGATTCTGTGATGCAATTCCCACTAATTTTAGTGGACTCTTGAGGGCTCTACACTCTTGAGGGCTTGACCAGAACTGTTCATGCCAGCCACTAAATCTATAAACTGAGCTCTGAAGTTTCTGTTCTGCAGAAAACCTCAGTCTTAGTTTCTTTATCTAAAGACCTTGAAACACTTACTGAAAAATCTGCTAATTCTTTGCAGGGAACAAAAGTGTATTTTAAATATTTATAGGAGCTATCCTTAAGAAGTCAGGATTTGCCTACACTTATCACACAATGCTACCTGAGATGTTTTATTTCCTTCCCCTCCCACCTGCTTAAATCTATTATAAAACTGGAAAAGAATTCTTGAATAGGAACTGTGGGAAGTGGGTGACAAATGTTGACTTTTTAATGGCTTTCCCTATGTTATAAACACTCACAAATAATTTACACTGCTCACAAGCCATGAACAAAGTACACCAAAGGGTTGTGGTGTTTTTATTGTGTTTGATGTCTCACTCATTAATCCATAACTTATTGCTGATCTAAGCAATTGCTGGTCTAAGTGTGAGCAAATGAGGTTCCACAGTCATATTTTTTACCCATTGACTTTAGGAGGGAAAAAAAAAGCATGCCATTATATGGCAGACTGCTATTTTAATAATAATTCTTAGAAAAATGCATCTTCAGAGTTTCTGTTAAAGTAATAATAAACCGTGAGAAGTATTTTGAGTTGAGTCAAATCCATGCAAATAAAGTGAGGTCTCTTCAGCTTTGACCAGCAGGTGAAAGCCACATGAACACTTATTTTAAGAGTATATCTGCTCTGAAAAGTGTAAGTGTGTTACAGTTTACAGTCTCTCTGATCCAAATCAAATGTATCTATTGAAAAATAGACTTTTTCTCCTCCCAACTTTTTTCCTAGAGCTGAAAAGCTCAACCTGCGATAAGAAAATGGCATTAAACTTTACAGAGCCACAGCATGGTGGGGTGGGAAGGGCCCTCTGGAGCAGGGTCACGCAGAGGAGATCACCCAGGAACACATTTATTACTGTATTTCAGGCAGAGTTTCAATGTCTCCAGAGAAGGAGACTCCACAGCCTCTCTGGGAACCCCATTCCCGTGCTCTGGTACCCATTTAATTTAATTAAATGTAATTTAAGGTCATCTGTGGGGTTTAGAGACAAGATCACCTTGTGTCTTCCCAGCCAGACACCGGGTACCTCTGAATCCTTGGTCTTTTGTTGACAAGAGCCGCCCACTTCTGAGTGCACCTCACCCACAGGCACTTGTCCTGCAGGCAACAGAGCTTTTCCTATAAAAATACTTGGGTAAAATACTCATCTGGTGGGATTTTGAGCCAGCTCCATGTGTTTTTGTAAGTGGAAGCTTGTAGGAGCCGAAGACCTGCGTCCTCAAAGTGTGGAAACCAGAGGCAGAACCTGCAGGCTTGACGTGTTCCAGGTATTTTAATTGACGCAAGAGGGAGAACTCCAGTAAGTAAGGATTACTCAGCCAAGCAAGGCTGGCTTGTCCAGATTATCATCAGGTGAACATAAGCCACAAATGCCCTGCTCTTTATCTAAATTTAGCAGCTTCCAGAGCCTGAAAAACTCCACAGAGGCACAGGTATTTATTAAGAACAGTGTCTTGTCATACCACACCATGTCCTAAACTGGATTTTACTGGTGTCCGCTCTTTTTCTGGAGATCTGTGCTGGTTTTTGGCTGTTGCAGGCAGCAGCTCCTGCTCGCCTGTCCTGGTCCCAAGGGGACAGACTGCTCTGTCACATGGAAATAAGCTACTGCCCATGCAAATAGACATCTGGGCTGTGCAAATGAAGAGAAGAGCCTTCCCCAGCATGACACTGGGTACTACTGGAATCTCCTCTGCATAATGCACTGAAATACCGGCAGGTTTTGCCTGTAAAATGTTATTCGTTGGGGTTATTCATTGTTCATACTGGACAAGAAAGTGGATGTTTCGGCTCCTTGTATTCTAAGGAAATTAGGTTGAATGTTGCCACATTATTTGTCTTCTGTATATGAAAATCACTAATAACTTACAGCTAACATGCAAAATAATTGTACTTGGTAGCAGTCTGTCTTTTATAACCTCACCACAGAGCGTGAATAATGATGGTAAGTGTTAAGAGTGGGCTTTTAAACCCCACCAAGCAGTAACATCTCCCTATGTGAAACAGCATCCAGGAAGGTTGAGATGTTGGTGTGGCTGGAGGGGCTATTAAACAGTCAAAATAGCTTTAATAGTTTGAAACCAGCACTAAAGCTGTGTAGATTAATGTTAGAAAACTAAGAGCAGTAATGGCTTAAGATGGTGATGAAATAAATGTGATTGGAAGCTCCTCTGATGGTTAAACTCAGCCTTTCTCCCTTTCCCCAACAGGACCTTGGGTGCCCACGCTCCCATGCCTTCTCCCCCAGCAGAACCAGGCTCCCCACACCCCCTATCTCCAGCTGCTGTTACCTCGTCGAATTTCTACCCTGAGACCTGGGTGGGTATGGACCCAGCTCAAGACTTCGTCCAAGTGCCTGTTGCGAAGGAAGACAGAAGCTACCGCACCATCTATAACCTCTTTCACAAGACTGTGCCAGAGACCAAATACAAAATACTGAAAATTCTCCGAGTGCAGAATCAGTTTCTCTGGGAGAAATATAAAAGGTAAGATAATGCAAATACCATGCTTTTACAATACCTTAAAATATGTCATTTGGGCTGCAAAACAGACATTGATCATTAAGCAGAAGACATAAACTCCAGGTTTTCTGAAGAAAAGAAGCATCTTCAGTTGAACGACTTTATCTGAAAAATATCTTACCCTGAAATCTCCTGTGTAGGAGGTTTAATCTACTCATAACTCCTGTAAAATGTATCTTCACAGAAACTTCAAAATAAAGCTAGGAGATCTACTTGAAAAATCTTTCCATTCACTTCAAAGCCAAACTAGGAGGCTTGTTTTCATCAAATCAATCAAATAATTGACGATGGCCATTAGTGCCTTGGTTCCCCAAGGCCTTGCGTGGGCTCGCAAAGATGGGCTCTGGTGTCCCAAACCAACGCAGTGACCACTTCATAACCCACTGTGCCAGAGGATAACACTGGGGCTTTAAGAGCTGCACTGGAAACTGCCTTTCCTGCAATGAACATTCATCTGCACTTTCCGTTTTCTCTTCCAGGAAAAAAGAATACATGTCCAAAAAAATGAGTGGGCTCGACCGCATCATGAATGAGAGGCATTTGTTCCACGGCACCTCCCAGGACGTAGTGGATGGGATCTGCAAGCACAACTTTGACCCACGCGTCTGCGGGAAACACGCCACCATGTTTGGGCAGGGCAGTTACTTTGCCAGGAAGGCAAGTTACTCCCATAACTTCTCCAAAAGATCAGCCAAAGGGGTTCACTACATGTTCCTGGCCAAGGTCCTGATAGGGCGGTACACGGTGGGCAACCACACCATGCGGAGACCCCCCCCGGTCAACCCTGGCAGCATCACCAGCGACCTCTACGACTCCTGTGTGGACAACTACTTCGAACCTCAGATCTTTGTCATTTTTAATGATGATCAGAGCTACCCTTATTTCATTATCCAGTACGAAGAGGTTAGCAACACTGTCTCCATTTGAAACCTCATGCTACTAAATTATTCATTTTAATAAAGCCTCTCGTTCTGACATCGGTAGCAGCTTTTGTGGAGAAAAACTGGAACGTTGCAGAACCGATTAAATTACTCACTTGGGAGGAACTAAATCTCAAAATAGAGAAAAGATCTGAAGTGACCAATTGTGCACTTGCTGTTTGATTATGTATGTGCAAATTGTAAATATTTTTCCATTGTTTATAGTTGAAAATCTGTGCCTTTTGTTATAAAACACTGTTTATTTATGTTAGTAAATATTCATGTTTAAAAATGTGTGTGTATTAGTTTGGTTGCATTCTGTGCATATTAGAGCAGCTAGAAAATTGCAGATGCCCTGGTCTTTATTCTTAGGGATGGCTATTTCTAGATAATCAGAACTAGATGATTTTCATCCTGAGTATATTTAATAAGAGATTCTCCCAACCACTATTTTTTTTTTTTTAGTGCATTTCATAAAGATGGGGAGAGATTACAGAACAAACATCCTGCTCATGCTGTGGGTTATTAAATGGGACAAGACACACAAACACTTCATTTTTTAAGCAGTAAAATCAAGGGGGTGTGCATGGCTTGCAGTCTGGGAGGCTTCCAGCCATTGAACCTGTGCATACTGGGCAGGGCCATTCATCCCCATCACAGAGACATCCCCAAGCACAGCAGGAGCTCAGGCAGCCTGAGTCAAGACACCCTGGGGTGCCCCAGCCTGGTTAGGATCTCATTTATGTATCTCATTATGGAAGTTGTACTGGTTTTATTAGTGCAAGGGTGGCCTAGGAGTCCTCTCTTGATGGCCAGGGAGCTGGGGTGGCCCTCTGCCAGCCCCAGGAGCAGCCCTGGGGATGTTGGATGGGAAGGGGCCTTCAGATCAGGTGCTCTGCGGCTCTGCAGCTCAGCAGCAAACCTTCAGCTGTGTTTTTGTGATCACCAGCTCCATATCCGTGTTCTGGGGCCTCATGAGTTTTGCAATGGGAGAGAGGGATTTGCTCCCACCAGCTCTCCAGCTTGTGGCTGTCCCCCTGAATTGCTCTCCAGAGGCTGGGGAGTTGCCTTCTCTGCAGACATCCAAACCCCTGGACGTGTTCCTGGGTGATCTCCAGAGGGCCCTTCCCACCCCACCCCACCACACTGTGATCACCTGCAGTAGATAACCCAGCTGGTGGGTGAGAAAAGGAGGAAGATGTGAGCAGCTCCCAATCTTCTGAGGCTCTTGGCAGTGCAGGGGAGAGCTCAAATTTGAGGGATTTGCCTTGGAGGAGGAGACCTGTGCTGGTGTGGTGGGATGGGAGCTGCCCACTGCCCAGCTGCACACTGGGATGCGCAACATATAGGAGCTGGTCCTGGCTGTGGCTTGTGTCCTCCAGAGATGGCTCTAGACAGGTAAGTGGTGGTGGTGGAATTGGGGTATAAAGGTGAAATTAATGTTTCATATGCCCTGCAGATGCCTTGGTGATAAGCTCTGCCCCTAAGCTGTGCAGTGCCATCCAGGAGGACGGCACATTGGGGCTGCAGAGCTCCAGACTGGGGACTGGAGCCTTCCCTCGGTTCTCGGGCCATCATCAGGAAAGCTGGTTGTGTTTTTTCCTCTGATGTTGTGATGTGGTTTTGGTCTTCTGGGACTTTCTCCTCCTCAGTGCTGGTTTGCTGCTGGCATTCACTCCAGCCACTGGTTTGCTCCTGTGATGGTTTTCCTGAACCTTCACCATTTTAGACTCCCTTCATGCGCACCTTGAAATGACACGCTGCTGGCGATGTATTGAAAATATTTGTGTTGTTTACATGCCAACCTGTCCCCAGTGTATAAGCCAACCCACCAAGGCTGATCAAGTCAGCAGCTCCTTGGTGTGCGGCAAGGAGTGGCCTGGTTGTGTGTGGAGGACACAGGACCCCATTTCCCCTTCCATACCCATGTCAGTCTGGCCTTTTAGCTCATGTTGCTGCCTCTGTTGGGATCCTGGTGTGAGATACAGATCTCGCCGTGTTATTACTGAAATTGCAGGGGATGACACACGCTTTGGGCAGAGCCATGTCATTGTGGCTGGTGTGAGGGTGGCAGTAACAATGGTGTGTGCCAAGAGGGACCTTCTGGGCTGCGTTTGGTGTTTCCAGACCCATGGTGAACCAGTGTGGGCTGCCCAGGAGGTTGTGGGGTCCACCCAGCAAACCTTAGGGTGCAGCTGCCGCTGGGACAGCTCTGCAGAAGGCGTTTGGGGAAGCGGCTTGAACGAAGAAGGTGGTGGCAGTGGATGATCTCATGCAAAGGTTCCTCAGGAGGTGCCTGCGTGGGAGGGAACTCTGGGAGGTGCCTGTGCCAACCTCCTGCTCGCAGCAGGGTCAGTCCCAAGGTCAGATGGGGCAGTTCAGGGCTCCACTGAGCCTGCGCTTGGAAACCTGCACAGGAGGAGCTTCCTGGGAACCTGCTGCACCGCCCACAGCGTCCTCATCAAAAACCCCTCACATCCAGGATGGTGCTGCCCCGTGATTACATCCCCTGGCTTCTGGTGCCCATACATTGCAATCTGTTTATGTGACATCAAACTTGGTGCAGAAGGGGTCAGAAGTGGTGGTGCTGATGAGCGGGACCATTAATTGATGTGGTGAGACACTCCTTGGCAGCAGGATGTGAGAACTTGGGCTGGGTGTCCCCCCCTAGGGGTTTCCACAGGGCTTCTGCGGTGCTCTCAGTTTGGTGGTGGACAGGTTATGGTTGGGCTTAATGATCTTAAAGGTCTTTTCCAACGATATCTTCTCAAATTTGCCATGAAAGGCAGAGCGAAACAAGGCCAGGAGAACATTTTGCCATCAGTGGTGGGGGTCATTGCAGGGTGACCACGATCTGGTCCAAGGTTTCCTTCTGCTGGAGGGGAATCCAACGCCCCCAGCTCCAAGGACCTCGCATGACAGGCTACTGAAAACCAGGGTGTGAGCCATGAGGCTTCGGCAAAGCATTAACGCACGAGGAGTCTTCTTGCTTCCCAGTACTGAAGCCCTCAGAGGCACACACAATTCATGAAGGTTTGGGATTTTTTTGTTTTTTCACATGGTAACCCAAGGTTCTTGCACATATTGGTGGGATCTGCGTGACAGAAGCAGGGAGCGTTTCCATCTGCTGCAGGGGTTTCTCCATCGGGGGCAGCGCCTGATGCCATCGCCGCACTAACATCACGGCAACCAAAAACATCCCCTCCATTAATATTACTTCTTCTTTCATGGGTACAAAGTCTGTTTTTATAAGAAAACTTCCCTACAGGCCGGACAACAAATGTCAGGTTGACCTAAGGGCTGTTCTTTCCTCAGTTTTCTGCAGGCTCTCTCTTCCCCAGCGAGCTGAGTACATGTTGTTTCAAGAGTAATTGGGCCATTATAAATAATCTTCTGCTTTTATTCCATTTTTCCCTCCAGAAGGAGCACATTCTCATGTGCTGATCCACACTGGTTTGTTTTGTCTGGGTTTTGCGCAGTCCCCATACCACTGCAGCTGCTCAGCACAAATGTTCACCAGACCTCCCCAAGAATGAGTCTGCTCTCTCTCTCCCAGCAGTATTTTGGGGAGGAATTGATCATTTAACTAAATATTGCAGGTGCCTGGACATGGAGCACTCTGTGATGGGTTTGTGGGAGGACACGGGTTCAGGTTGGTGGAGAGGACCTTCCGCTGCCCACGTGGACGGGGCATGGACGTGCTGGGCTGCTCCGAGACCAGGTTGTGGCCCAGTGTTGAGACCAAACTTCACTTTTTGTCCATCCTGGTTGGCAGTGGGGACGTTCTGAACCATTTTCACTTCCATCATCCGCAGGCTGTGCTAGGCCACATCTCCACGGTGCAATGGCTTCTCCAGGGACCCTCTGCTGGGCTCCCCTGCTGCTGCCAGGGGGCAGTTTGGTTATTAGGAAAAAATTATTAACTGAGAGGGTTCTCAGGCACTGGAAGAGGCTGCCCAGGGCAGTGGTGGAATTACCATCCCTGGAAGGGTTCAGAAGCTGGGAGATGGGGTGCTGAGGGCCATGGTTTGGTGGTGGACAGGTTATCGTTGGACCCAATGCTCTTAAAGGTCTTTTTCAACCAAATGACTCTGTGATGTGTAGATGGGACAGCAACGTTCTTCTGTCCAAGCAGATGTGGGGACCAAAGCAGTAATGAGATGGTTTTCTCAGTTACCTGCACCAAATTCCCTCTTGGCTGAATACTGATTGGATGAAATCAAAAACCTGCACCAACAGAGCTCAACAGGGAGCAGAGGAGGGGACAGTAAGTAAGGGGGGAGGAGGTAGTGTTTTCAGAAAAGTGAGAATTGGTTTCTTGTGAGGAGGAGGAAGAAGAGAGGATATAAGGAACAGGAACAGAAACAAGGGAAGGGATAACACAAAGCACTCCAGGAAATGTCCAGCAGGAAAAAAGTCCTTTTAGCCTGGATGTAAAAGCTAATTAAGTCTGCAGAGCACTGGCTCCGTTGGATCTGAGTGGCCAATCTGGATGTGGAATCCGCAGTTATCCCTGTTCCTGCTTTTTTTTGGAAGGCCAGGCCTCCTGTGAGAGGAAATAGAAATGGTGAAGCCGCTGCCTGGAGTGGTTCCTGGTGATATTTTTTCCATGGAGTGAATCTGAAAATGGCTTTTTAGAAGAACAGAGTGTGATTTGTCAGAGAGATTTTTGTTCTGCCAAAATACCTCAGTGTAATCCACAGCGTCCTTGATGGGGAGCACAACCAAGCGCATTGCAAGAATGAGCTGAGGTTTATGATGAACCCAGCTGATGGAGCTGCCTGGGCTCCAGTTACTGACATTGCCCAAATCCAGGGAATTTTGCTGGTGTGTTTTGCAGAGCAGAACACTGCAGGTAAAGTGAGCAAAGGAAAGGGCTGGGCCAGGCAGTGTTTAACCACGAAGGCTGACGGGCAGTGGCTGGCAGTGGTGCTGAGTGATCCCAGTGCTGATTTGATGGCCAGGAGCTCAGACGATGCCCAGGGCCTGTTGAGCACAGCACTGAGCCATGTCATTAAATTAGGGGTATTTGCAAAACAAAGTTGATATTTGCTATTTTGGGGTGGTTTTTGTGGGTTTTTTGTTTTATTTGCATTATCGACTGATTGCAGCCAATGTGCTGGATCTCCACTGGTGTTCATCCACTGGAGATGAGGTGGGCTCAGGCCACCGTGCTTGGGTAGGGCAGGTGCTCATCCACAGCCACGCTTTGAGTGCATACTGGTTTTAAATTTAATAAGCATCCCTATTAATTAAGCATCAACAGGTTGTTAACAGCCTTACTGGGGGGAGAT